AGGGTCAGAAGTCTCTTTGTTTCTGCCAGAGGATCCTGGAGAATTTCCCTCATCATTTGAGTTTGAATGAGCAGCAGAGGCTCGGTGACGAGGGGCCATGCACGACCATGACGACAAATTAAGGGAAGGACGAGTCCATGCTGCTTGAGCCATGCTCTGGGCTCTTCTCATAACAACCTGTGAAATTAGAAAGTTTCACAAGCCAACCAAATGATTAGATAGAAGAGGAATATAGGTTTCAACCACCAAATATCAAGGTTGATAGCTTCTATAACAAGAATGTCACAAGACACAATAAAGACTAAAAATAATATTCAATTTCTTACAAGAAGGTTCAGAAAGGAAAAGAAGATGGTGTGTAGCAAAATTACACTAGAAAGACAAAAGGCTACCTGTGTGCCATTGGAAACAGGGCGCAGAATTGCCCCTGCACCAGCAACTTTTGCTTTAGCACTGGCAATGGATGGAAGCCGCGAACCCAAAGCTGAGGCAGAACGATAGACAGTGCTAAGGATTCTTGTCTGCTCGATCTGATTTCTCAAATCATTTAACCAAGCAGATGCTGTCACCTGTAAAACGAAATAAATTGAATAAAAGAATATATTAGAAAGAAACACATATTAGAAGCATCACAGGAATATCAGCATTAGCAATGTTCCACAAGAACTATAGCAAGTATGCAAGCCTGTCAAGTACCAACAAGCCAGAGATCCAACTACTAGCACAGTATGGCTGTGTAGGAAAACTTATTGAAGCTAATAAGCTTTCGTGTGAAAAATAATAATAACAATAATAATAAATTGGGTATACTTGACAAATATAATATCTCCATGTATTATAAATGAGAAAAGAGCATGCTAGGAGTAAAAGGAATTCCTGCATGCATTTTTTTCAACTTCATGGTCGTAATCTGACTAAAATCACAAGTTAGAGCACAAAATATTTAGAAGAACCAAAAAAGTACAGTAAAAAACCTTCTATCAGCAGAAACAATATAAGTTCAGTACTACACACTTTTTCCAAATCAATTATAAGGAAAACATAGTAATTGCTCAAGAAGCACCCTCTCATCAAAATCAACATGATTTAATTAACCAGAGTTTAGAACATAACCTCAGCACGTAAATCATCCACCGACGCAGCAGAGAATGTGGGCACCAAGTCAGCTCCATTAATAACGGAAGTAATAAAATCACCACCTGATTCTGCCAACTCCCATGTCATGCAGGCAGCTGCAATGTATATCAAGTCATCACTAAAAGAAATACTCAACCAAACAATTTACACCATGCTAAACTAAACAAACATCAGGATTCAGAACAAAATAATACAAGACAGAACTTCAGAAAGGAACAAGACTTGATGAGTAGCACTGAAATTAATATTAGGCCATGGCATGTAAGGAACACAAACCTGGAGCAAATGTCACACAGGTGGTTGTCGAAAGTTCTTTCTGCTCTCGCAATATATATGTTAGAAGTGCTGCTGTGCCTCCACCCAAAGAATGCCCTACAATCTGTCAGAAACCATTACTTTTGGTAAATTTCTTAATCTTATGGACCATAATATTGTTGGAAGCCACCAAAGCAATTAAGAAGAGACAACGATAGTAAGTTCAATCAAGTTCCAAGAAAGAACAGTAGCTGGTCATATGGTATATATAATTTACGTAAAGAATGATACAGTTTTTTTTTTTTGGATGAAAAAGAATGATACAGTTAACAGGAGAAGACTGTGCTGAAAATAACTAATCAACCAATCAACAAATTCTCCACCGAGATCTGCATCAGCAAGGCTGCTACAGGGACACAGATTACAGATGCCAAGAAAATATCTGATACTGAAAAGTTTAAGAACCAAGAAGACTCCTACAAAAGTATACTTTCTAGAAACTACTACATCACACAAAAGATATCTTGACACAAAGATAAGAAATATAAAGCACAGTATCGTATATGAAAACAAGAAATTAAGTAGTCAATTAATTTATCTTCATAAACTGTCTACTAATTGATTTGTTAAGATGAGTAGTAGCATAGAGAAAATCCCATAAATACCATTACCTTAAGTTCATAACCAGGATATTGGTCAAGTGCCTCTAGAAGGCAGGGTTTTGCAAGCTTAGCAATCCATCTAGCAGCTGCAACCATTCCACAATGCGCATAACCCAAAACTAAATTACTGACTCCTCCCTCATGTACAACACTGTGATGGAATGGTACAACAGCTCCCGTTGCAGCTGTCAGAGTGTCCTTAATACTATGGGTTCCACGAATCAGCAAGAGAAAACATTTTTCATCATGATCAACAAGAATTGTAAAAGCAGGCTTCAAGATCTGCAGCAGAAAGTGTATAGAGGATTTGATATTAATGGATAGATACGGCTCAACTATTTTCCAATACCGTTGACAGTAAAATCACGCATAAAGGCACTGGCAAACAATCAGTACAACAGTAACACTATTTAAATTAAGATACTTACTCCTGCTTTGGGTTCCTGAAGAAGAACATTCTCTTCGGAATAGCCTGTCTCCTCTAAAAACAAAGGAAAAGGTTTCTTTGAAAAATGCCAACACAGTGTCAGCAAGTTTAAGAGGTATTTGAGTTCAGCAATTATTTGAGATCCTTTTAGCTGTTGACTGTCTATTCCACCAAATACACCAACAACATGCAAGTTTCCCTGCAAAGTACAGACAGTATAGTATCAAATATCATTCATCCAAACCAAAAAATTAAAATAAAATAAATTCATTCGCCTGGTATAAACATGAAAAACTAATTTAACAATTTGGAACAAACAATAAAATCTGTCATCTCCAGATTGGCAAACAACATTTGAACTCAAAAATGCCAGTTTCATTGTCATTAATATCCTAAAGAAGAATGGAGTAATGATTTTTAAAGCTGCAAAATATAAAGTCACATTTTTCACCAATTCTATTTCTAACTCTCAGTTAGAATGAAGCTTTTCATAAATCAACCACCTTTTTTTCCATCTCTAGATTGAGTATTATATTCAGAAAATAGATATATGTAAATAAGTTGCGCAAAAGCAATAACCATCTATAATCATGAAAAAGACCAACAAAGTAGCGCAGAACCCACATACGATAATCATGAAATCAACATAACCACTGAATTCAGCACATTAACAGAGAACCCCACACGCAAAAACATGAAATCTAAGCAAACACTGAATTCAGCAAAGTAACGAAACGATGGCCATGAAAGCATTTTACCTGCCTCTTCAGAAGAAAGCTGATTCCAAATGCCAAATCCCCTATAGGCCACTTCCCCAAAGTCTCGGAGTAAGTAAACCTAAGAGTCTCTGACAAGGTCGAGATGGTTTCCAACCATGTAGCCGGGGCTTGAATTAACCTATGCGAAACCCGTTCAATTCCCAAAGGAGCCTGATTTGGCACACTATCACCCCCATTTTCGTCATCATCACCGCCAGTCGTGGGGGACTGTAACTTACGGTTCAATGTATAATACAACAAGGCAGCTGCACCGGCTGCGGTGGCCATAGTTGCAGTTGCCATTAGCTTACTATCCCTATAAATATTGAAATCCAAAGAGCAATTAACAAATATATAAGCAAGACTCGGTTTTTACTCAACCTCTCGAGCTAAAAACACCAAATAAATCAAAATTGCATTACTTTCTTGTGCTTTTGCACCTAATTTTCGCTTAATTACCCAAAGATCAATGTTTTTCCTCAAGAAAAGTATACAGAAGCGGAAAATAAAAACGTTGGAGACAAAATTGCATCGAACCTGATTAAATTGATAAATTGGGTTAACGGAAAACCCCTAAAAATCCGAAATTTGAGAGACATTTGGGAGAGCAGGAAGATTTGATGCTATAAGGAAGGGTAAGCGAAAGCGTACCTGAAGAGATCGATTTTGGCGTAATTTATTGGGAATTAATATCTCTTCGTCTGTAAGGCATCAAAAAGATTATTCTCTGTGACAAAGAGAACGAGACCCCCCTTATTCTTCGGTTTTCCTTTTTGTTTGTGAAAGACTCGAGAGAGCTTTTGCGCAGTTTTGAAGCAAAACGCCCAGGCAACGACGTAGTTTTGTAGGGGTTGGGGCGAGGGGGACACGTGGCGGGCAGGGAAAGAGGCTGAGTCGGAGAGATGTGGCAAGTAGAAACCGACCTGAACTGAGATGGTCCGCGCGAATGAATCAGATGATCAGGTGGAGATCTGCAGGCAGCCGCAGATCCGTACACGCTGGCTTATACTTTTTCTCTCAAGTAGAAGAAAATGAATTTACCAAAAAGAATTTCTTTATTTTGCTAGAATATGATGATAAATTAATGCAAAAGTTTTCATGCTCAACCATTGAAAATTGGATAGTGGGAGTAAGCAGCTTATAGCTCAAGTGGTTAAGAACATTTACTTATGTATTCGAGGTCCTATATTCGATTCCCCCTTTCCCAATATCACTTGTATAAATTTATAAATAAATAAAAAAGATAGTGGGAATGTTTAACATCATTAGAAATTGAAGTCGATTTCAAAATTCTAATGCAAATAATTACTCATCAGAATCAATTACCGTGATTTGTCTCTATTACTCATCGGAATCAATTACCATAATATTAATCTATGTTAAGAAATTATAAAATAGGGTGTTCTACTTCAAGCACTAATGTCAAAACAAAATTCAGACTTCTAAACAATTTAGGAAAATTAACATAACAGTGATTTGTCTCTAAGGAAGAATAGCTCTTTATTAGTAAGGAGCCTTAGTATTTTTCTTTGGGACATGAAAAGAACACCGAATGTAATCTAATTTAAGTAATGGTGATTGATCTTTAATATGGATAAGGTGTGGATTCTGAGTGGTCACGTTAGCCATGAATTATGTTATAACTTTCCTTTTCTTTTCTCTTTTTTTCTTTTTTCTTTTTTAGGACATTGGATAGTGTCCAAAAGTGGAGATCCTTCCCTCACATCAACATCCGAAGAACACAGAAGAGACCAAGAGGAATTTTGAGTTGCCAAGTTTATCCACTCAACTACTAATTCTGGAAAAGGATACAAATCATGAAAACATATGAAGTTGACAATCATTCAACAGTTCAACAACAGCAACTTCAACTAACAAAAGTTACAGAAGGGGGAGTAAACGACCCGGCCAAATTGCATAAGCACTTGCTAAAGGATTTAAGTTAACATTTGATACTCCAAAAGGGATAGAAAAATGTCCAGCATTTTATCAAATCCAAACATTGCCCCAGACAGTATCAGGTTTCCCAAGGACTCAGTCTCGCTCACTTATAGCAGTCAAGTGCTCATCAATCTCGTCGGTCGACAACACTCTGAAGACAGGATTCTCCTTTACCACCACTCCAACCTAACAAATGATAATGGAAAATTAACATAAATTTGATTAACTGATGAAAGTCATTACTGCTGCAATTTGATAAATAAAAGCATAAAACATAGGATATGGAAAGCAACTGTGGAAAGCAATTTTGAGACATGGTAAAACCTATGTGGAAATCAGATACTGTCACATCATACAAGCAATAAAAAGTTTATGAACAATATGCCACGAACAATGCATTAAGGGTTCCCATCACAAAACAGTATAAAATTTCAAACACTAAAAGAGGGTTACAAATACCTCAATTTCATTGGCCTTGAAATCCTCTTGCAGAACTGATTGCAGGGCAGAAATTGCAGTCTAACAATGAAAGATATGTGGGAGGTCAGATAAGGAATCAAACGAGCGTATTAACATTCCTATTTTCATAAGTCTAACATAATCATAATTCATTATTTAACAGCCACTAAAATCTCCAGAAAGAAATTTAGTCTAAAGGTTAATTCACAAACGTGCAAAAAATCTTATGCACCTGTTTAACAAATTGGGCCCTAAGAACTCAAGATCACAGCTTTATATTAATCAAAGGATAAGAAATGTCTACCTGCACAGTCTCGTCATAGGTAAATAATGGATCATTCTTCATTTTCTTCTCCAAGAAATTGATTGCCTCTTGTTCTTTCAATCCAGCACTTGTGGCCTAAGATGCATAATAGTTGATCAGTGAGAACAAGCACCATACATTGATGCTCTATATATAGCACTATGGCAGAGCACAGCTCATAGTGATGTCTCAAGATGAACACACTTTTCATTCTTTGTTGAAACGATCTACATATTGTAGTGGTGCAAGTTAACCTTAAGTGCTTTTATAAATGGAAAAACGCGCTCTAAAGAGGGATGAAAGAAAACTGCATGAGTGTCTGTTGATGAGTAAAATAATGGTTGATGCATAGATGAAAGTTGTAAACAAGTGTGGGAAGGTTTTTCAGTGATATTGCGTATTTTGAGTTCTTCATAATAAGTTACACAAGCAGAAATATACCTTGTGACCAAAGTAATGGCCAGCTGGGTCACACTTATAGAGTTGAGGTCCGAACTCTTCATCAATACCCAAAACCATAGCAACTTCAGAAACAAACATAAATGGAAAGGATCAGTAAATATGCAAACACAAATTAATAAAGCAAAAATTGTTGCATGATGTAGTTCTTTGCAAGAAGAAACGGTTATTCACTGCTATAGAAGGGAGTAGAAACAAACCTACTCCAAGTGGTCTCATATAAGCATGTTGAGTATAGATTTGTGATTTGTCTGCAATCCTGTCATACAAATGATATTAAGGTGAACAAAAAACCATTTGAACCGTTTAAATCGGGCAAACCAAATCAACTTGAGTGGTTCGGTTCGTTTTACACCAAAAAATATGATCTTAGATTGAATCAAACCAAATCACAATTGTTTGATTTAATTCGGTTCAATCTATGTCAAAGAATGAATTTCTATTTGACAAGTACTAGAGGAACTACAATTGATTGTTTAATCAAATGACTGAATCAAATCAGTTACTAAATAGGTTGGTTTGATTTGATTATACTTCTAGTATAAGGATAAAGTGTATAATTCAAACCGTAATATTACACAAATTTAGTATGCTCTTTAGATCTAAATTGAATCAAATCAGACCGAATCCTAATACAGTTACTAAATTGACAAAATTAAAACTTAGTAGGGTGCTGCTATTTCCACCATGTGTCCTATTTTCCCACCCACCTTATCTTCAAAAAATTTAAGTCAAATTTACCCCTCTGTAAAATGACTTCTAAGGACGGGGTGGAAACAAGCCCATTCATTTTTGTTTTGCTCTCTTGAAAGATAAAAGAAATTGTCTTCAGTTCCCACACAGAGAGAGAGAGAGAGAGAGAGAGAGAGAGAGAGAGAGAGAGAGAGAGGAGTCATTTAAAATTATCACTACACAAGTCCAAGATTCCATGGGACCATGTCATCCCATTATGGAGTCCATCATTCTACATATCCAAATAAGGGGAAGGGGTGAAAAATCTTTCTGAACAGTTAAAATCAGCAACTGCACTGGCCCAAAATAAAAAAGCCTCAACAAGTGCACAACATAAATGGGATGCAATTAAACACTTTTAACTTTAACTATAATACATCATAGGAGTACTCTAAAACTGCAAGCTAAAAGTTCAGTTGTATTATAGAGTAACATAATATGGTATAAACAGTTAGAGTAATTACCATCTAGCCAGTACGTCTACCGGCATCTCGTATCCATATTTGAATCGAAACTCAGCTGCTTCATTCCTTGCTTGCTGAACTAGGGTCCTTGCATCAGCTAGAAAATTACACGCCAAAAGAATGAACCAAATGTGAGCTTTTAAACAACAAAAGCACATAAGTATCTAAATTTGTCAAACGAACTGTTTGAGTTAGCGCTTCCAATAAGCTTCCAGAAGGAGCAAAAAAGAAACCTGTCATGCCAGTAGCCAGCAACCCTAGGAACTTTGTGATGGGGAAAAGATGTGTGACACTTGTCTGATCCAAAAGCTTGTCCTGCATTAATTTCACAATTTATTTATAACCCGCACAAATTCCATCCATTCTAAAGTAAAGACTCAGTTAAATCAACCAATACTACTCACCGGGACTTTCTTCTGAGTCACAACACATACGGAATCCTTTCCCCGGACACCAATTGAGGTGATCCCAGCAGCCTTAACAGCCTTAAACGCATACTCTATCAATCATAAAAAAAGCGAACTCAGAACAGAAGAGCCCATGTGCTACTCAACATTAACACAAAAACATATTCTATTCTTACACCCCATTCCAACCTGAAATGCTTTTCTTCTTTTTTTTAAACACTTTGTTTTGGTAATATGAAAAATGATATTTAAATTTGTAATTTCTGCTATTTCCCTCAGATTTCTCGGCATCCAAACAAGGGATCAAGTTCAACCATCGAAATTAAGTGGGCTTTCAGCCCATGAGCCCGAGAAACCATAAATCTGGATAAAATGAGCAACTTAATTTTACTGATTTGTAAATTGAGCTAGCTAGTATCACACACCAAAGTGAAACTAATACAAACAAATTAAACATTCGATTTTCTCCTTTTTCCTTTCAACTTGTATTAGACAGAACGAGATTCATAATCGTGATTTTTCCCCTCTTCTCCTCAGATTTCATCATTAAAACAAAAATTGAAATGGGCTTTAATCTCATTGACCCATAAGAACCTAAAATGCCCAAAACCCACAAATCAGCTCTCTTTGAGGCGCTGTTCGAGATTGAGACTGGAGAAACATCAATGGAGGTATTGGGATATTGTCACTTACCGACTTGAAATAGACGGCCTTCGGGCGAGAAAATCGTGATGTGACGATCGTATCCGCCTCCACTTCCACGACTCATGTTTGAAATGCTTCGATTTCTGAGCTTCTGCCTCTTCTTCTCTGCTTAGGGCTTTCTGGGTCTTCCTTCTACCTTTGTGTGTATCAGAATCAGACTATTGCGGGCTACTGCGATGGATTTATTAGAAGAGGAAAAACGAAAACTTTTTTCCCAAGCTAGCTGAAAGCTAAAAATCTGATTCTTTAATACGACGTCGTTGGATTTGGCGGGTCAAGTTCGGCCTTCGCGTTTGATTTATGGATCTCAAGGTGGGCTGGGCCCAATGCTTTGGCCCACGTTTAAAATCATGGCAAATCATAAACCGGAGTCTCATCTCACGAATCTCCACAACCATCCAACGGTGAATAACACTCTTTCATCGCTGCCCACTCTGTTTCTCTTCTCATCGAACTCCAATCTTTCTCTTCTCCGGTGAGCCCTCTTGCGCCGGTGCCGTCGACCACCTCCTCAGGTATACTCGTGGCCCCTTCTCAGTTTTCAGCTCATTTTTTTGGGTCTTTATCTGATTTGTGTTAGAGATCTGTGAATGTATCTGAGTTTCTGTTTTGTTTCATCGATCTACATATGTTTTCTGGATTGAAGGGGTTTGCTTGATTTCTAGGGTTTCTGGATTGAAGGGTCTATTATTGTTTGAATCTCTGTGCATGAATCTCTGTTTCTGGAATTGTGTAATCTGTATGCTTGGAAAGTATGTTTCTGTTCAGTTTTGAGGATGCATAATTTGATGGCAAGATGATATATGGGTACATTATGCTATAGGATGCCTAATTTGAATAGGTGTCTGTTTTTTTTTCCTTCCAGAAAGTATGGCATCCAACAGGGGTCAAGGTGGAATTCAACAATTGCTGACTGCAGAGCAAGAAGCTCAACACATTGTCAATGCTGCCAGAAGTGGTATTTTTTTTTTTCCTTTTAGATTTACTTTTTTTATTAGGGTATTTTGTATATGAATCTATTATCTGTTTGTTTCTGCACTTTGTTCACTAACTTGATGCGTGAATTTCTGGGTTTGCATTTTGCAAACGAAAGGGACTATGTTGCATTGTTTATGAATTGGCCTCTTGCGAAGTTGTGTCGAAGCATGAATTCTTGCTTTTAATTGGAGAAGCATAATGCCTCCAACTTCCCCATTGGAAGGGATGTTCTTTTTGTCCATGATTTTATATATAGTGTAATTTTCTCTTGTGGACAGTCAAACATATGGTGTTGTCAAAATATGAATCAGGACCGTTATTTAGGTGAAATCATGTATGAAATGTGCAGTCCTAATGTGCTCTTTTAAAGGGTTTTAGATTTTACGCCATAATTTAGCATTTTGAGTTTTCTTCTAATTGCTTTGGTGGTTGGTTTTCTGCTTGTAGCAAAAATGGCTAGACTGAAACAAGCCAAAGATGAGGCTGAAAGGGAGATTGCTGAATCCCGTTCCCAAGTGGAACTTCAGTTCCAGAAGAAAGTTGCAGCGGTATGTAGATGTTAGTGAAAGCTATGCATTGAATGTTCATTAGGTCTGGCATTCTCAGTTTTCCAATGGCTTGCCCATGTCATTTTCATGTGTGCCTTACAATTTCTAGAAAATGAGTATACCAACTATAAGTATATCCCCCATTGTTTTTTAATATCTGAAGCCGTCCCTTGACTTTTGTTGTGGATACAACTGTGTTAATTCTGGCATTTTGCCCCCATGTTTTCATATGGCCACCAAGCAGAGCAGTGGAGATTCAGGGGCTAATGTGAAGCGTCTCGAACATGAAACTGAGCACAAGATCGATCACCTCTCTTCCGAGGCCTCAAGGATTTCAAGTGATGTTGTGCAAATGCTTCTGAAGCAGGTGACAACAGTGAAAGTTTAATCCCATTGATGGGAGAATGGTGATTTCAGAGTCTTGCAAGTATTGTATTCTTTTGGCTGATTCATCCGGGTCCTTAGACTTGTGGCATTGCAGTTAGTTGCTATCCGAATATCGGTTATTAGTATGTTGTGGAGCACTTTGATCGGCAAATAAGCTTTATAATATGTATCATGTTCATAAAACAATAATGTTACGAAAATTGTTTGGCCAATTGAGTTGAACTTGGTACTAGTTGCATCCTGTTTTAGTCATTGAAGTAGGGCTTCATTTGGGCCAATTCTTGTAACACATCATCAAGATTTTTCTGGGAGTGAAATGCAATATTGACAATTGTTTATGTAGTTTGCCGCAAATCTTTTATAAATATTCAAATGCATTTTTCTTCTCCCTTCTGCTTTGCGATGGTTATATAATTAGCCTAACATCTTATGTTAAATATTGGTCAATTCGTAATCCTTTGTTCTGTGTTACTCAGTAAATTTTTTTATTTAATACAAGCGATATTGAGGAAGGGGGAATTGAATATAAACCTATGATATAAGGGTAAATACTCTTAACCACTTCTAGAAGTCCCTGGCAAGGTCTTTCTTTCTTTCGGCTTTGGTATCCAAAATGTCCAAGACATTAAATTATGGTTGATAAAATGTCATTCATGTCACATCTGTGCATGTATCAAAATTATAGAAAGCTACTTGCTTTAATCTAATTGGTCTCATCACTTGTGGTTCTCCTCTCTACTCAATGCCACATTTTCCCTCCGCACCCCAAAAAAAGACAAAAGAGTCTGTGTCACATAGTAAAAATGTCGGTCCAAAATTCGAACCTCAAAGCAAATTTGGAATGCCTTTTAGCTTTATGAATTGCTCTCAGAGTCAGAGCAGCAGCAAAAAGTATCAAATGGCTTGGCCCACGTTTAATAAAATCATGGGTGGTGACAAGTCCTAAAATTGTAATTTCATCTCACGAATCTCCACAACCATCCAACGGCGAATTAAAAACAAAGTCATTTCACGCATGTTTATCTTGGCAAAATTTCCAAGTGATGGACCACATGGTAGGCCATATGGACCACGGTGGTCCTCCTCGTACATGATTAGTAGCTGCATTTATTTGAGGACACGTGGCAGACAAATATTTAGGTCTTCCACTCAAAGACTGAAAAGAAACTTATCAAGTAATAATCACCCTCCTTAATTAGCGGCTTTGTTTGAAAAGGGAATTTTTTAAAAATACAAGCGATAGTCTAAACTACATACGCTATTAAGATGTGATGGAGTTCAAACTCGAGAACATTAGTCTAGACCCAGTTGATTTCTTTTTTTCTAGCAAGTGTCTGTCTTTATTAAAGATTTAAAGGTGAACATAGAATGAGGTCCTTTTCATATTTTAAACGTGAGGCTTTGTGGCATTTTCACAACCATGTATTATATGATTATTCTTTAATGTGTGATTCACACATACAAAATTTTTATATAAAAAAACATGGTTTGGATGGATAAGCATATGAAAATGATCATGAGAGAAGAAAGCTTTTAACAAAGTTTTTAGTCATGGTCAAGTTTGTTGGGCTGAATAAATTTAATCCCACTACAAAACCATAATGATTTTTAATTTTACATAATTTTAAAAGCAAAATTAAAAATAATAATAATTGGTTTGGTGGCTCCCATTTAATAAGTTTAGTCAACACATTTTTCCATTTTATATAAACTATTATCATTATTTTATTTTATGTTCATGGCAAGAGTTCAAGTGCATAACAAAATAACATAGAATCAAAGGTAGGTATCCCCTTCTAACCAACTAAGACATTAATCTCCACCACAAACATGCTTCCCTTTCATGTAAGGCAAAGAAGCTCAAGGCCTCTATCTAAACAGTTCTCTCCAATTCCACAATCACCTTACTCAATCATCATTTAAAATTCTAGTCTTCCCCAAAAGTCATTCACTTTTAAAAATGATGTTTTTACCATCTTCACCAAGAATCTTCAAATCTGCTCTTTGGAGCTATTAAACAAAAAAGTTGATTGATGGGGCACCACACTATCAATTTGTCTCCCCCCGATTACATTACAAGTTACAATTATGAAATTTAGGTAAATGTGTCATTTGATTTGATAGTCTATGTGACCAAAGGTAGGTATCCCCTTCTAACCAACTAAGACATTAATCTCCACCACAAACATGCTTCCCTTTCATGTAAGGCAAAGAAGCTCAAGGCCTCTATCTAAACAGTTCTCTCCAATTCCACAATCACCTTACTCAATCATCATTTAAAATTCTAGTCTTCCCCAAAAGTCATTCACTTTTAAATATGATGTTTTTACCATCTTCACCAAGAATCTTCAAATCTGCTCTTTGGAGCTATTAAACTAAAAAGTTGATTGATGGGGCATCACACTATCAATTTGTCTCCCCCCGATTACGTTACAAGTTACAATTATGAAATTTAGGTAAATGTGTCATTTGATTTGATAGTCTATGTGATACTTTGGTCTATAACATTTACTTCATCAAAAGTTTATTATTTTAAACGATACGTGAAATGGTTAGAACAATTCACTTTATTAATAATTTACATATATGTCATATTCTACGGTTGCCTTACTTCTAACCTAATTCATTCAAGGGGCTAAAAATTGATGTGGGTAGAGTGAGTTTCTTTCCCATTAGCCTTGTCATTTTAAAATGCTAGGCTCATCAATAAATGAGCCGAAGTGTCATAGAGTTTGAACCTGAAGCTACTGGTCTACAAGTTAATGTCCATTTTCACTGAAAATAATTACCTTTCAAAACAATTGAGCTGAAAATATTGAAAGTATTACCCAGTTTTTCATAAATAAATAAAAATATTACACAGTTGGCAGTGGTTGGCTGGCTCCCTGGTTGCGTCGTAGGTGGGGTCCCAGTAGGGAGCACAGGACTTCCTCATCGAACGTCGCCGCACACGATCCCACCCTCCACGTAAATGACCTGTCCCCTTCGAATTTGTCCTTTATCTGGTGAAAAGCTCTGCACGAGATAATTCCACCACGTGGCATCCTCCCATTCGTCATGTCACCATTAAATAATCCATTAATTTCACAGTTAATAAAAAAATTAATTTTCCCTCCACCTCTGCGTTCGTCCCTCTTCGCCTTCACTCTCTTCTTCTTCTAACTGCCCTTCAAAAGCCGAAAGGCCTCAGCTATTTAAAATGGCCTTCGCCTACCTCTCACGCTCGCATCCCCTTCAAAACCATCTCACCAGCTCTAGCTGCAAGGACATCACCGTCGCCGGAAAACCTCCGCCGGCGATATGGCAGCCGAGTTCTCCAGCTGCGTCGAGTACGGCCTCGGGCTCTCGAAGAGGGTGTTCTACGGCAAAGAGTCGTTTCCAGACCCGTCGGCGATGACCAGGTCGTCGGAGTCGTACTTGCCGGAGGCTCCGATGGTGTACGCGGTCGTACCCGACCCGTCAATCGTGGATAATCCGGACATTCCGAGCTACCAGCCGTACGTTTACGGCATGTGTGAGCCGCCGGCTTTGATACCTCTGCATATGCATGGCATAGCTATGGAAATCGAGAGCTATTTGGACACTGCGTTCGTTACTGTGAGCGGCAAGTGGCGCGTGCATTGTGTTTCCGCGGGAAAGAGGTGCGATTGTCGAGTCGCGGTACCGATGGGCGATAAGGTAGTTTGAATTTTCTTGACGACTTAGATTGTATAGAACTAAAGACTGTATTTATTTGGTCCATAAAAAAAAGAGTGAATTGAAGAAGAGTGTTGTAGTTTCATTAATGCTGAAGAGAAAAGTGATGGGCTGTGCTAATAGTTAATCCAAATTAAGAAAGTTGAAGAGATTAGTAATTGGAATTGGAATGAGATTAGTAACATTTAGGTGTAAAATGGGAAAACGAGTAGAATATATGGTACATGGTAAATTTCTAATTGTCTTGTTAATATTAGAAAGATTGGTTGGTTATTTCATGCTATATAGATGTTTGTGAACTTACTTTTCCTCTGAGGGATGAAGCTATATTTTTTAAATTCTCAAGAAAAACATCATGTGGCTAACAGGGTTCACTTCTAGGTGTTGAGGCTGAAATTACCGGAAGATCATATGGTACTCAACTAATCACAGCAGAAGACACAACAGATAAGGAGAAAGTGGCCAAAGATGGGTACTTTCTGAAACGCCAGATATACACCCTAAAAGTCCCACAGGTTAGATTTCAACTTGCGGTGACCAGCAGTGACTTTTGTAACTTTTATTGAATATGTTCTTACAATATATCTTATATTTCAGGTTGACGGAGGCTCCTTCCTTTCATTCAAAATCAGATGGTCTCAGAAATTGTTGTATCACGCTGGCCAGTTTTCCCTCAGTATACCTTTTAGTTTTCCAGCATATGTCAATCCGGTGGCGAAAAAAATTTCAAAAGGAGAAAAGATTTTGTTGAATGTGACTACGGGTATTGACGCAGAAGTTTTATGCCAAACTACCAGCCATCCTCTTAAGGTAAATCATTTTCATAAGTCCCACTTAGGCCTTGGATACACCTGAACTGATATTGATTTATTATTTCCAGGAAGTTAGGCGCCAAAGTGGTAAATTGAGTTTTTCATATGAAGCAGAGGTATCATCATGGTCAAGTGCAGGCTTCAGCTTTTCATACACCGTAAGACTATGAATTTTTGTTTGTGTTGTGAATGGATCTCTAAATATTCACCATTTCTGAAAAGTGTTTTGGGAAAATGATGGTCATAAAGCACTAATGATACATGTGTAATTAATCTCTGTTGGTGGCTGTATTTACAGGTTCGTTCAAGTGACTTATTTGGTGGTGTGCTTTTGCAATCCCCATCACTTCGTGATTTTGATGATAGAGAGATGTTTTGCTTCTATCTATTCCCCGGAAATAGCCAGACTAGGAAGGTTCGTTAGCTCTAATATACTACCTATTCATTGCTTCAGAAAACAGAGGAAATCCCAACATATGTTAAAGGGAGGGTGGGAGGGAAGGGCAAGAGTGAGTCCACGGGTGAATATGCAGGGGAGGAATGCGTATTGATCATGTTACATTGAGTCTTTATTGGCATTGTCACTCCTAAAAGATGGTCAAATTGCCAGTTCCATTTTGCTAAATCTCTTGCACCAGAGTCCCAAACCCTTTTTGATTTTTGAACAGAGGCTTTGCAGCCTTTTTCACAAATATGTGATCCTAGTTTTAATTTTATACAGGTTTTCAAAAAGGAAGTTATATTTATTATTGATATAAGTGGAAGCATGCTGGGAGACCCTCTTGAAAATGCAAAGAATGCACTATTGGCGTCACTCTCTAATCTCAACCGAGA